CTTCTTCAGACATCCACTCCCTTGACCCTTCCACATTCTCCCTACCAATCAGCCCTTTTCCACACTCACTTCCCTCTCTCCCTAGACTCTATGGCCCACTCATTTCAATCACTACTAGCAACTCCCGCAAGCCCCCTACTCCCATGGGCCCAGGACTAGATTAACCAAAAGGTCTGCTTTTTCTAGGCCTACAACGAGACTACTGATTATCACTACAGGGAGTTAAAAAAAAAAAATCATACAACTTCACACATCAGTGTCACCTCCAATCTCAACTACTCAAACTATCTTTAGTCTCAGAACTCCTGCACTGTCCCGCCACCAACAACCATTCTTGATGTCCTTCCTTCTATTTCACAAGGAAAACAAAACAAAGAATGCAATACTAGCTTCCTCCTCATACACCTTTCCTTCCCACCCCTCTATAATTATAATGAAGATGTTTTTCTTGTCTGGTTCCTATTTCTTCTCACATACTCAGTCAAGGACACCAGTATACTTATTACCTCTCTCTCCCTTTTCTTTCCTTTTCTACTCATTTCTTCAATTTTTAGCCATACTTGAGTCTCCAACTTTAAAAAATAACTCCAAACCTTCTCTTGACCTCATAGACTTCTTTCCAGCTATCCTCTCTCTAGCCTCCCCTCCATAGTCAAATTTGTTTAAAACATTTTCTTGGAGGGTTCTGGGAAAACGGCAGCAGCATAGTTTTTGATCTTTTCAAATATATACATGAAATGGGAGCTTCTGACAGCAAAATCAAAGCCCTCTGGACAACATTCACAACAAAACTAGGTTACAAGATACAAAATATCAATAGCCACAAGATCTCCATCAGATTGGTATCAGTGCTGGAGAAAGCAGAGAAGTCAACGGACATGAAAGTAGGAGAACCCTGAACTAGTCAACAGTATTCAATAGAACGCAAAACTGAACACAACAGCTGAAATCAGAAGGGGCTTTACTCTCTACAACATGTGAGCTTAAAAGGGTCCTGCAGTGAAAAGGTCTGAAAGGGCTACAGCAGTCTAACCTCTCTGAAATCCTGAAACCAATCTGGCTGCCAAGGTTCCTTTTAAGAATAGGGTCCCATACTGAAGATAAAACTGTTGAGAAGAGAATCAAACTGAGCAGAAGAGGCACAAAAGAAATGAAGGAAAAGAGAAGGTCCAAACCCAGTTAGAGAAGGGAACAAAAGCAAGAAATCTCAGAAAGTAAAAAAAGAAAAAAGAAATCTCAGAAAGTAAGTTACCACATTATTTAACACTACTACAGGGCAACAACAGAAGAGGGAGCTCTTTCATGAAAAAGCTACTCTGAGCCATACTACCTTTGAAAATCAGGAAAAGTAATTTTACATAAAAATCAACAAAAGAAAAATACAGAGGCCAAACCCCATACAAACTTACTATGAGAAAAAAAAAGTAGAAAAGCATTCCTATAATGAAAGCATGCCAGAAAGACATGTGTATATCATATCAAAATTATAACTTCTATTTCAAAATAAGTAAAAAAGTAAGAATATTACATAAGGCATAGAAGAACATCATTCAGAATTAGAAAAATTCAAAAATGAAATGAAAGAACTCAGGAAGGCATTAAAATGTTTAAAAAATCATTTCAAATACAAAGTCTAAAACTAGAAGGAACACAAGAGTGAATAATAAATACAATAATGCCTTATGAGAAATAAAAAGTGAAAAAGAAGAAAATATTTAAAGATCAAAAGGAAGTGAACAAACAGATAAAGAGGATTAGAGAGAAAGGGTGAAGTACCAAAGACAGGAAAAGAATATTTGGACAGAAGTTTCACAAATACTATACGGCACATCTCATATCTGTGAGCACTGACCTAGAATGATGAACTCTAAGACAAATTCTAATAGAATTATTGGGCCTTAAAAAACATATATACTAGGAACATCTAGACAAAAATAGCAAGGACTTGTAAGGGAAAGAAAATCAGGTGGGCGGAGGGTAATAGCTCAGTGGTAGAGCGCCTGCTTAGCATGCATGAGGTCCTGGGTTCAAATCCCCAGTACCTCCACTTAAAAAAAAGAGCGAGAAAGAAAGAGAATTAGGTGATCATCATTCAGTTCTGTGCAAGACAAAAGCTTTGGCTCACACTGGTATCTTCCAGATCCATGGAAAGACAATTCACAAGAAATACAAAGGACAGACAGAGCATGCTGAGTTGAACCATTAGTGAGCAACCTTCAAAATCTTTTCAAAAAGACACACTGTAAAGAAAAGAGAGGGATGAAAAACTAACCTGTGGACTAACATATAGATCAAATTTTAAGTAATAGGCAAGACTAAATGTCTAGGTAAATACCGTTAGTAACCAAGAAGTAATGCAAGCAAGTAACAGATTACTATGAAAGGCAAGATATCAAGTCTTCTCCAATCTAGACCTGTGCTGTTCAATAGGACTTTCTGGGATGATGGAAATGTTTTTATCTACACCCATGTGGCTACTCAGTACTTAAAATGTGGCTACTGCAACTGAGGAATTGAATTTTTAAGTTTAATTAGTTTAAATAGCCACATTTGGCTGATGACTACATTTGACAAAGCAGAACTACACCCCCCTCTTAAATTTCATACAATACATACTAGATACTGCCACTTGAAAGTCCCACATGTTCCTCAATCTCAAATCATCCAAAACAACCTAACAATGTCCTTTCTGAAATCTCCTCCTCCTGTGGTCCCTTTCTTAGTGAATAACACCATTCAGCAACCTAGGCATCCCTTTGACTCCTTTTTAATTCAGGCTCCATTTTCAGTCAGTTAAGAAGTTCTGTTAGTATCACCTAAATATCTCTTAAATCTGTCTATGTCTTGCCAGTCCCTCTGCCAGGTATGTCCCTTCTTCAGGGCACCACCATGTTCCTTGGACTATCCTAACAACCTCTTAACAGCTCTGTCTTCAGTCTTGCCTTATCCACTGTTCATCCTCCATTCAAGTCTCCAATAGCCTTTCCTTCCTTGCTATTAGGGTAACATCCAAACTCATTTATATACTGTATGGGAAACTGCTATAAATTCAGTCACCAAATCCCACTGAACACTCCATACTGCCTGACAGTCTTCCTAAAGTTTCCATTCTCCAGTGACTGCTGCAAACATTCCTCACTCCAAAACCTCTTATCTCCCTTATACTCTTTGTAGATAACTTTACCACTGACTTCAGAGAAAATAAACCATCTCATCACCACATTCTGTCAATTCCATAGCCTAAACAATTTTCAGCACTGTGCACTTCTATTTTCACTGCCACCACTCCACACCACTTCCTAGACTTCCCCAATAGCTTTAACTAGTTTTTCTGTCTCTAATGTTGCTTCCATCAGATCAATTCTCCCCATTGCACATGAAGTAACTGTTATAAAAATGATAAAAATTCTCAAATATTACTGTGTATAAGCATCAATGTGGGATCTTGTTAACATATAAATGTCTGCGTTTTCCCTCCCTCTGCAAGATCCTGCTTCAGTAGGATTTGTTGATGTAGGTGTTGCTTGGATCTGACAAACACTGCTTTAAAATTTAAGCCTAACCTGTATCACATTCTTGTTTAAAACGCTATTATACTTTTTTACTTCCTTAGAATAAAATCCAAATACTTTTTAACCTGGCTTATAAAGTACTTTAAGATTTGGACTGAGACTCATCACTTACCACTAGTCATACTAGACTTTTCATATCCTCCAACTCACAATGCAGTACATCCCTTCCAGTTTTTCTTCCCAGACTGTTCCCTCTGCTTAGAAAACTGACTAATTTCTACTAATCTTTCAGGTCTCTATTTGAACATTCGACCCTCCAAGCATTTCCAAAGACTCTAAACCCAGTTAGCTTCCCCTGTTATGTGCTCCTAAAGCACCCTCTGCTTCCAATACCATGACACTTACCAAACATTATTATAATTACCTACTTAACTGTCTATATTTTCCCCCTCTGATCTGGAATGTAAATTCCATGAAGGCAGAACCATATCTGTCTTTTACTCCAGTACAACTCCTGGCACTGGGAACAAGTAAGCCCCTGCATTCTCTGGCCTGGTCCCTGCTCACTAATTTGCCTTTATTTCTGGTATCCATCCTGTCCCAACAATGTTCCAGTCACACCAAACTACTTTCAAATTTCCAAATATTCAATCATCTCTCCTGTCTCTGGGCTTTTGCAGCTGTTGTTCCCTCTGCCTAGAACATGCTTTCCCTGGTTAACTCCAATTTATTCTTCCCTGACTAAGATGGATTTAGTACCCGGCCATTAACACCTTACTTAACCCTATTCCCTAGCAGTTGTCCGTCCCTAAGCCCTATGATTGCCTCAATGTTTGTCTGACTTCCTTACTAATTCCCCTCCAGGGCTTAATGGAAAGTCTAATACGTAGTAACAGTTCTCTAAAAATGTATATAATGAACCTTTGATCCACAACCCAGATCCTCCTGTATATAACTCCCGGACCAAAATGCAGAACTCAGGGCTCTATTCAACAATCCAAGGAAACAAAGAGCCATTCTGATAGCATCTCTAGTAGTTTATCCAATCAAAACAAGCAAGCTCACAAATTTTGGCTTAGGGAAACTTTCTGCTAAAGACAGATAAACTCTATAAACTTAGGGATGTTTCTGACACAAACACTCAGAATCCTACTCTTTTGCGGTCTTCAGATAAACTCAGAAAAAATACCCAACTGGCTGGCTTCACTACCCAGGCATCATAAAGTGGCCTATCAAACATCCTGTGAAGAGCTTCAGGATGTTCTCATTCTATTATTTAGAACCTTATTTTCTTCAGACAGGGTGAAAAACTACTAATAACAGTGTAACACACATGCCCTGAAGAGGCTTATACAATGCTTCCCTTGCTATAACTTAACAAGACCTTCCTTTTATAATAAGTTTTCAGCAGCATAAACAAAGACTGCACAAGAGGAGTTACAAGTAGGTCATGGTACTTTTGAATCACAGGTGTGTACAGTTTTTAAAATACATTTTGCAACCTATATCATAGAAAAAAGAACCTATTACTCACTTCTGAGTCTTCTGCGCTTTCATAATCCGAGAGAACAGCTGAAAGAAAACAGAAACATGTGAAAAAAAAAAAGCAACAGAAATTATAATTACATCTCCTGACTGCTTTTGGTGGGTCAAGCTAAAACTCTCATTTAATTCTGACATTAACCTATGAAGTAGATAAAATTATAGTCCCCATATACAGATGGAAAACAGATTGAAAGCGTATGCTCTTAAGCACTATGCTACAAAGAGCCACTCTGTGGCACCCTCCCCTAAATCCTTAACAGTCTGAGTGGATGCCAATTGCTGGAAATAAGTGACCTGAGTTTATGGACAAAAAACTGTCATGACGCTACTCACCATCGCCCTCGATACCATCTTCACTCTCCTGAAGGAAAAGAGAAGACATGGATTAGTTCTGTGATTTGCAGAGGGTAGACAGCTCAAGACTGAACACAAAATGGTTGGAAAGGGAGCCAAGGAAAGGTGTATCTTTAAGGTAGCATCCGAGGGAGGTCCTGTCTCTTCACCTCCAACCCCAATTTCTGAATAAACATCCGCTTTCCATGCGCAGCAGCTCCGCCCTCCCTCCAGAAATCCCCAACCCCACCTCTTCCCTAGGGGCTCCAGATGCAAACCGCACTGGGATAGCTCTCCTTTTCTGGAACACATCACCCCCAGCATCTACCATCGACTCCCAGCTTGGCATCCTCGCCTACGCCCCGCCCCCCGG